TTACTTCTTTGCATGATCTACACATCCATGTATAGAGTTACTTCCTTCCTTTCTTTGGAAGATCCCCTCATCCTTCTTTTTTTGTATCAAGATGGAGTAGTAAAAAACCAAAAACTTTCTTTACCATTAATTTTCATAATATGAAGTGCAACTGAAAGAATATTCAGATTGATGTATGTAGCGTATCAAAAAAACTGAGTAAAATATAATTTGATTCATGCTTTTTTGGTTTACTTTGGAGTTGTCATAAAGAAATCCACACATAAGTGAAATGCTCATTTTCATTTCTTTTTTCTGCTTTAATTCAACATTTGCGACGTGAACTACTGCGTAACAATTCCTGAAATTTCCTACAACAAACCATTCAAACTGTCTACAATTTGTATACAGTATGCAGTAACTAGCGTGAAAAAGTTTTTCAATGAAGAGAGATGATGGAAACGTTCATGTCCAAATCATGGACTGTCACCACACTTCGTAGTTCTCATGTCACTCTTTGCTATTCTCAGGTTATCGAAATGATCCGAAAGTTTAGTGTTCAGTTATATGTCGCAACCATTTATAAACTGTTCTGCCTAGGTTTTCTAACAGGTATAGAAATTTTGATTCTTGACAAAATAATAATTGCAAGGTTAATGAATCATAATTCACGACTGTATTTTATAAAACACAATCTATGCTATAAAAATATCTATAATAGATGTGTGTGAGGATGGATGTGGCTCTTTCACGCCTAAACGACTGAACGGATTCAAACGAAACTTTTCATAAATACACCTTATACATCAGATCAACATATATGCTACAGTTTACGAAGGTTTCTTGTGATTTTGGTCATAATATAACGATAGGTATTGAGTAAGTCGGGAAAATTCTTGCTCCCTGAGAGCTATCTTGGCGTGCGCTGCCTATACCGTCGGACTTACTTGCAGATAATGTACCGTAATATTGTTTATTTCGAATAGTTCTATATAAAAGTCCGCGGTAACATATATCTACCTCTTATGTGGTAGCCACTATATGCAAAATACTCTGTCAAATTCTCATAGAAATTGATACAATTATCGTTTTGAGTATTTAATAAAGATAAACTTTGTTACACCTAGTAATATAGATGAATCGTTTAAAAGTTATCATGATAAGATCAACTTGACACAACGCAGTAAGCCTGAGGGCAGACGTCGTTGCGAATTTCTTTATAAGCAACTCAATTCGATTCCCGAAGCTATTCAACCAAGTCAAACAGGCCATCATTGATCACCGGAACGAAGGGTGGGAGGATCTCTTGAAAATCCTTGAGCCTGGGGATGACGAGCGTTGGCGAGACACCCGTAAATTCCAAGGAAAGAAGACTAATCCCTCACCCATTCACGGAGAGCGCGGAGTGTGCTATTCTCTCGCCGACTAAGCATTGGCCTTTGTCGACACGATAGAACGTCAGTTTCAACTTAACGTTGACGACAATGATGACATGGACTTCGATATTCTGTTGGAAGATCGGGTTCACCGTATCCTCAGGTAGGATGACGATGATAACATCCGCCCAGCTTCTGTAGAAGAGCTGAAGGATTATATCAGGGCAGCAAAGGCCGAGAAAACTCCGGAGGTCGATTCCAAAACCAATAGGTTGTTGAAGAGGCTCCCGGACTTCTGCGTCGAAACTCTATTGCAGATTATCAACAGTTCGCTGGCCCTCAGATACTTCCCCAGAAGGTGGAAGCATGCAATCGTTGTCATGATCCCAAAACAGGGTCAGAACCTGCTGTTCCCACAGAATTGTTATACCTGGGGTGTTAGTCCAGATTATTACTGTACTTAGTATCAAATTTAATTATTTACTGTCCTCCATCTGTCACCAATATATCACCATTCCGTAGGGCTGCTGGACTCGTGCCAAACGCACGAAGGTTGGTCTTTTGAACCTTAACTACACTGAGGGTTTCCCTTTTGTTCCTAAGAAACGTGATTATGGGCACATGTAATGTATACGGTTATTTGGGTACTCTAACTTACATGGCGACGGCGAAACCGACAAAGTCTTACAATCATATATTATATTCCTCCAGACGCTAAGTCATCATGAGCCCGTTTTCTGCCACTGGGTTCAATGTGACCGTTAAAATGTAATCGCCAAAATGCTTATCTAAATATTGAACTGACCCGGCAGAGAGATGCTGTACACAAATGAATTCTTATTTTCAAGAAATTAAATCAACCTTCTCCATTTCCCTTATAATGGCAATTATTACAGAATTATCGTCCGATCAGTCTGCTATCATCAGCGGCGAAACTGGCTGAAAGAGTCGTTCTGCAAAGACTCAACAGGAAAGAGTACTCCACTGAGCTACAGGCACTGAGACAGGTCGAAAACACCATCGCAGAGCTAAATCAAAACCGTCCATGTCGTTCTATAAGACATCTCTGACGCCTTTGACCGTGTATGGCACGAAGGCCTTCTGTATAAGCTAGTCGCGTTCGACCTGCCTCGGGGCCTGATCCGATTGATTGGGTCTTTCCTGAAAGACAGAAAATTTCAGGTTAGAGTAGAGGGCTCTCTGACAACAGAGAAATCCTTGCTGGACTACCACAGGGGGCCGTGCTCTCTCCCACACTGTACTCTCTCTGCACCAGTGGCCTCCATAGGTCCGAGCGTGTGAAAATATCCCTCTACGCCAATGACACGGCTCTGACACAGCTCTTACACGGTTCTTCTCTCATCTTCCATGGGTCGGGATAACATGGAAAGAACGATATATTCTTCGGCTAGAAAAGTGGGAATCTTCGGAAGGAAGATCGATTGGCAAGCACGGGTAAAGTATCTCGGTCTTCTTATGGTCCGTAGACTCACCTGGAACACGCACATCATAACCGTGAAGGCAAAGATCGGGGATCAGATCAAAAGTCTGTACCCTTTGATCAACAGACGATCCAAATTGAGCCTAAAGAATGAAGTTACGATGTACAACACGATGTTCAAGCCTGTCATCATATATGCTTCAGGCGTCTGCGGACAAGCGGCTCCGTCTAACATCTACATTCTGGAGAGACTACAAAATAAATGTATAAGTATGATTGTAAATGCTCCGTGGTTCATGCGGAACGAAGCCATCTGCGGAGATTGGCAGCTGTTTATATGAAATTCTAGCTAATATTCAAGATATGCGATTATTCATGGAGTATGCTGAAATTTGCGAATATGCGAATAATATATTAGTCTGATAACAGATTTCTACACATCTACTGCACATCTTGAGGCAGCGGCTTCACACCAGTCCGGCAGCTGTACCTGGCAGAGTTTTGACATAAAATTCCAATATTTCACCAATTTCCTAGAAGTCACATTGTATTGCACCTAATTGTTCATTGAAAATGTACCTGTTTTTTCAGACTTAATCATTCATCCGATAAGTTTATCCTCAAACAATGTTATGTGAAAGATATTCTAGAATAGTTTAATGTATCAGTAACTAATGAAGCTCGCGTATAGCAATATGCATTTCAAATAAAATTAGTTGTGAACATGATATAATTAATATTACTGGAATTTTGGGAACACCAAACCGGTATTTCAACATCTCGAGTGATCGAAACACGTCTCTTCTAGAGGAAGAGTTTGATCTTCTGACCCAAATAGTAGAGTGATTGATCTCAATACGGCTCAACTGCGTATATGAAACCTTCGTCTAAGAGAAATATTGTTATCTGGTGACACCTCCATTGCTCCATTGAGATTTTGTAATTCGTCTGATATTTGATGAATGAAAACAGCTTGTACAAGTATGAAACTTTGTTACCAGATGAAGTTACTGGAAAATGATCCGATGCTTCAGCCTTCCAAATGTCCGGTTCCAAATTTTTCTTATTTTTTCTCAATTCCACCAGTCGTCGATACATTTCTGGGGTGTATCCTCTTTTTGAAGCTTCCTCTAGGCAAATCTGAAAAATCAATTTTCCTCTTTCAACATTCTTACGATACTAGAAGAGCTGATTGATTTGGGCGAATATCTCAGAATGAGAATGTGATTAACAGTATCTCGGTTGTTTTGATACAAATATACTTATATGAAAGATATTAAATTTTTAATCGACTGTACTCGAAGTGTGAAAAGTCCAAAATGAGGAGGACGACTATGAGAAATTCGAAAACGTTAAAATATGGAGCAACGTTGAAACGTAGATAAAATCAGTATTCTGATAGATTCTTGAAACAAACTGTCAACATATCTAACTAACACCAACTGTAGATTATAGTGTTTCCAATACCAATTGGAACAGAAGAGAGAAGGAATTCCCGCCTCAACATAGGCGTCGGCATATTATTTTTCAGTGGTAGTTTTTCAGTTACTTATTCTTACAATCATAGCAATTGGTAACCCAATGAAAAAGTTATCTCAACTGAATTTTTCCAACATGAGTAATTATGAAAAACTTCGAAATTTAAGGTAGTTGATTTCCGAGTCGAAAACTCTAAAATACAATGAAAACACAAATAATCATACCGAATTCTCGTCAAACATATATTTACAAAATAATAGAGGTCAACAAAATTGCTAGAAAAAAAAATTCTTCGCTATATTCGGATGAGGTGCAATCATCATCGGGTTGAATAACGATCGGATTTTATCAGAACTTTCACTAAATTATTACCGTTGAAAATGATTTATGGGACTTTGCACATAATATTTGTTCTCTTCTTTTATAACGTGGGCCACAAAGTTCTTCCACACATCACTATTACCTACTTCATTCACCACTCGCCTTATATTGTCAAGCACCACAGCATTCAAAGTCGGTGACTGATTACATTTCCGCAAGCTTTCTTTCATTGTTGCCCAAACCATTTCAATTGGATTGAACACACAATAATATGGAGGCAAACGTAAGAGAATTTGACCACGTGTTTCACACATCGAATCAATAATATACTCTTTTTTGAATTTACGTTGTTTATGGTCACCAGTAATACCATTTTCATTGGAATCTTTTCGGGTATTTCCATGTCATGATTTCGCATGAAATCAACAATATCTTCTTTTTTGTGTTATTGTTTAGTATTTTAGTCAATAAACGAGAATGATACGGAGCGTTATCCATTACAATAACCAAGTTTGGACGAATATATGGGAGAAGCTGCTCACTGAACCAGGTTTCGAATAAGGCCGCAGTCATATCTTCGTGGTAATCAGCAGACGAATATTTTATATTTTTGGCCGGCAGACGCAAAGCATTAGGTACGAAACCACTTTCATTCCCTGCATGCAAAATTATAACACGTTTCCCCTTAAAGAGAGTGTGTTCAAAGCACAATACTTGGTTTCGTCTACCTAGCCATATTTGACAACATCATGGGTGTCAAACCAAGTTTCGTCGAGGTAGATTATATGTCTGTTGGATTCTCGGTAGCTTTTCATTCGCCTCAAATATTCTTGTCGGAGTTGAACAATGCGTGTCGATTCCATTATGACCATCCGATTGTTAAATTTTTTATATTTGAAACCACAAGACAATAAGACACTTCGTAGAGTTTCTAACGATTTGTAATTGTAATCGAGATAGTTGAGTGATTTATACCAAATCATTTCCAAGGTTGGTACTTCATTTTTTTGGTATATACCATAAATTGTTCGCCGAATCACATCTTTTGTAGCACCATCAACGTTAACGAATTTTTATTCCTTTGTTTTCGTTTCATTGCATGGTCAATGACATCCTCTATTTTATTTGAAGGTGATTGACAATGTTTCATAATGAATTTCACTAGTTCGGACTTCCATTGTCTACTGTATAAAGTGATTTGAAATCCCTGAAACAACTAAAAATGAGTAGCTGAAAATAACAATTATATTAAGCAAAATGAACCTGAAATGAGATAATAGTGAAATAAACAAACAAGTAAAAATAAAACAATTGAATAAATAAAAAATAAAGAAATGAAAAAAGAAAATGAAAATAAAAATAAAAAATAAAAAGTGGAGAGATTCCAAGTCACGTTAGTTCACGACGTTTCGATTGTTAGTATCTACAATCGTCTTCGGGTGATGACTGGACTGATTCCTCCGAAAGATAAATATTTATAGATCATTCGAGTACATTCACTTATCCCCGCTTTCCATTTTCCGCTTCACTGATTCTGTGGGAGATGACCGTTTTGGCGGGAAATGGCCATTTTTCGCTTGATAATGGGTTTCCATATGTTGCGTATTTCTACGCTGGCTTGACTGAATACGTTGTTGGACAACATGTATGCGGCTTCCTTGAATTTTCTCCTAAACCAATGTTCCTCTCTGTGGAAGATCTCAGCTTGGGACCACTCGATGTTGTGTTGATGGGTCCAAACATGGTCTGCTATTCCTGATTTGCTGGTTTCCCCTCGCTGTGTGTGTTTCCGCACTCACAGGGTATCCGGTAAATGCAAATCTTGAAATCGCAGTCTGCGATTGGTGGCTTGGTTTTCGTGAGGCTGGTACGGATAGTGTTACCGGATCTGTTGTACTTGGAACCAATTCTTCTTATCCTCTCCGATAATTCTCTGATGTAGGGTAGGGAAGTGCAAGCACTGGTTGTGACGGCTTCTTTTCCTTGCGAGGCTCCTGCTGTCTTCTAGCCAAAGTCTTTTCTACCATCGCTTTGGAGTAGCCATTCCGTTGGAGATCATTTTTGATGATGTCTAGTTCCTTCTCGAGGCCTTCCTTCGTATTACAAAGCCCAAACGCACGGTCTAATAGAGTCTTGATGATTCCTCTTTTAGTCGATTGATGGTGGTTGAATTCGTGGTTCAGATACTGTCCCGTATGAGTGGGTTTTCGGTATACAGATGTTTCCCACTTAGTGTCGGTCCTCTTCACCAAAACGTCTAAGAATGGCAATTCGTTGTGGATTTCCTTCTCCATTGTGAAATTGATGGAAGATCTCACGCTGTTGATGTGTTTCAGGAAGGCGTCTAGTTCAGTATTCCCATGGTTCCATATTATGAAGGTGTCTTCAACATATCTCAATCAGACTCGAGGTTTCTTGTGGACTTCTTCAATGGCCAGAGTATCAAACCACTCCATATATTTGTTGGCTATGACTGAGGAGAGTGGCGATCCCATTGGCAGTCCCTCATCTTGTGTAAAGAATTCGTCCTACAGTTGGAAATAACAGTTTCGTACACAGCATCCTAGTATTTCCATAATTACTTCTATAGGTAGATTCGTTCTCTCTTTCAGGTTCCTTTATCTGCAGGTAGGATCTTGATGGTGTTGTCTCTACGTAGGTCGTTCAGAGCTCTACGTTCTTCATTGCTGATATTAGATGTTGGAACTGGTTCTCGATCCAGCTGTTCTCTGATTTTCCATCTGAACTCTTCTGCCTTGGTCTGGTCAATGAGGGAACTGGTGGATCCGACTGCAGTAATTATCTCCAAAGTGGGCACAGATGTTGGCGTGATGGCGAAATTTAGGCTCAACAAGGATTCCTCTATTCCCGTGAGCGGACGGGAACTCATGTTGATGACGTTGGCGGCTTCATAGTTGTCCTGTTTTCGGTCTGTATTTGGGCATTGTTTCCTTACTAACTTCCCCCACTTTCTGTTGTGGGTATTCTCCATGTCTTAGTGGATCTTCAAGCACATGCTTTCAATCTTGGCAAAGATTGGTCCATGATCATCTTCCAGTGTTTCTCTTCTTATCTCTTTAAATCGTTCCGTGGCATCCTGCAACAAAGTTGACCTCTTCCAATGGTGATAATTGATTTGAGACCTTATCAGTGCTCGGCTGGTGCGTTCCAATATGCGTTTAGCTCTCTCTCCTGGGATTGGCGATTTCAGCAGAAAACCTTTGGGGATGATGTTGTTGTCTCTCGCTTTGCACAGAAAGCTGAGGTGAGTTTCTTCCTTTGTAAGCTTGATCATAGTCTTCTCATATCCTCGGAATAAGTCGCTGGTTCCGGGTCCGTACCGGGTATTCAACGTTTGTTTGAAGGTGATTGACAATGTTTCATGATGAAATTCACTAGTTCGGACTTCCATTGTCTACTATATAGAATAATTTGAAATCCCTGAAACAACTAAAAAAGAAGAGTTGAAAATGAATAGCTGAAAATAACAATTATATCAACCAAAATAAACCTGAAATGAAATAATAGTGAAATAAAATACAAGTAAAAATAGAACAATTGAATGAATAAAAATGAAGAAATGAAAAAAGAAAATAAAAATAAAAAAATTAAAAGTGGAGAGATTCCAAGTCACGTTAGTTCACGACGTTTCGATTGTTAGTATCTGCAATCGTCTTCGGGTGATGACTGGACTGATTCCTCCGAGAGATGACTATTTATAGGTCGTTCGAGTACTTTCACTTATCCCCGCTTTTCAGGGATTTCAAATCATTTTATATAGTAGACAATGGAAGTCCGAACTAGTGAAATTCATCATGAAACATTGTCAATCACCTTCAAACAAACCTGTATACTATTGTTATTAAGGGTGGTTTTGAATGGAATGCCCTGTATATGCCCATTATTCAGATGTGAAAAGTAATAGTGAAAATTAGTGAGACATTATCAATGAACTGGAAATCGAATCAATATTTATTCACATGCATGAAACGACAGTCGAGTATATTCACGTGCGCGTTCAACAGTTCCGATAATCATCTCCTTGATCTCAACAATGTATTTTTCTTTCCTTGAATGGATTCAATCAACCCACGATCCAGCCAATGTCTGCTGAAAGACCCTTTGTTGGTGAATCTCGCTTTAAATTTAAATGGTATCTATCAGTCTGTATTTGCCGTCTGTGTACAAAGGCAAGAGCAGAGGAAATTGGCGACATAACTAAGCTCCTTATTGTGCCGGGCCGGGTTCGCAGCGATGCACATTGCACTTTGTAGTTCGCTATCCAATTTATGTGGCTAACAACGATTTACTTTCGAACACTTCAGTGCACAGTTCGGCTT